ATTTGCTTGATTAATCTTTACCCTATCCTTTATGGCTTTTCCAGTGATTGGAAATGTCTCTTTTTAGTTTTAGTTTATTAATCTGTTGTTTGAATAAGAAATTGTATGATTTTTAATTTTCTTCACAGGATCGATCCAATTCCGCTATTTATAAAATATTACAAATAACACGATTTACTCAGTAATTATTTGCATTTACTGGACCTTTTCTCAAATTTAGTTTATCTACCGAATTCCGTCCATTTAGCTATTTAGCTAATATATCTCGGTATTTACTAATTAAATAGTGTGCAACGGTATTTACCAGTTAGCTATTATATCGAAAATTTTTAATATTTACAAATTAACCTGCTCAGTTTCGCTTCCACTTATTTAATTAATATAAAATAAATTTTTTCAATTCTTTCGCATATTTACTAATTAATCTTTATCAGATAAATTTAACAAATAGAAAGTAAAAAACCTGATCGATCCTACTATAATATGGCATTGAATGATTAAATCTCAAATTGTACGTTGGTTGCATACCTGCAATTACTTTGAAATTTAACAAAAAGAAAAGTAAAAGAAACCTAATCGATCCTAATCAAATTATATGTTAGTTGCATACCTGTAATTTCATTTCATTCATTAGATAAAAATTCTTTTGATCTTTTCACTGTCTCTCTTTCCTTCAAGTAAATTAATTAATAATTTGATTATTAATTAATAATTTGAAAAATTCTACCTATTAGATTTTAAAAGAAAAAACCAAAAATAATACTGTACCATTGACCAATGAGTCACATGCAGGCCAAAATAGGCAAGCTGTCGTGATATTTTGTTGTCCAAGTACATTCCAAATCTATGATCGATTAATTTTTAGGAAATGAAATTAAATTTATAAATATGAAAGTTTTTTGAAAGGCAAAGAATTTTATGCCTTAAAAATATGATAGGCAAAAAATTTAATGCCTTAAAATAACGGTAAAATTTTGAATTAAAATTTTATTATTAAAATAATGAAAATTTATTGAAATGCTATAACTATAAATTCTACTTACCGGTATACCATTAAAATATTGTGCTTCATTAGTCTTTCGTATATCAATAAAGTTTGTTTTAAATTGATTATCATAAATGACATTATCCACAATACCATGACTTTCCGGATATAAACCGGTTGCAATTGAATAGTGATTTGGAAATGTTTTTGTTGGATATGTTCCATACATGTACTACAATTTCATTCAGTTTTTTCATCATCTAATTTTAATAAATTTATTTAGCTTTCATTAATGATTTGTTAATTAAAGAAAAATACAACGATCTTATTGTTATGACAGTTAAACAATGGTGAAAGTTAATTTATGATATTTAAAATATTGCTTTTCAAAAATTTAAATTTAAATAAAACAGAACTCAAATAGCTATATATAACGTAAAATTACTTTTTCTCAATACATTACTTTTCTGTGATAATTTTTTCATAATTATTCCATTTAGTTAATTAATTAAAAATACACCTTTTTCGTTCTGAAAATTAAAAATACATTTCACCTCAGCAGTTGTGCCACATTTTGCCATATGTTCCAACGTTTTAACAATATTTTCATCAATGTAGGATCGCTTAAAACCATCAAAACTAATCACTAATAATGGCTTCTGAATGAAACTGAAATGATAAGATTATTTAAGGGAAACAAAATGTAACAATAAGTTAAGTAATAGTAATGATAAAACAAGCTTTGTTAATATTTTTGAAATGTCTTATCATACCTTTCATCAGTATTCTCTGAAGCTTTATTATTATTATGTTTGAAATGTCTTATCAAACCTTTTTATCAGTAATCTCTAAAGCTTACTATTTGCTTATTAATATTTTTTTGAAATCAAATTATCTTTTGCTCAATAATTCCTAAATTAGTAATGCAACATTTTCATATCAATTTGTTATGTCAATTACAATTATACAACCACCAAAAGAATTTATTATTTAATAAATCAATAGAATTTATTATTTAATTAATAAATCAGAAATGAAAATATTTTCTTGCACTACTAAATTTATTACTTAAATACTAAATTTAATATATAAAATCAAATTTTGATTTTTTATTAAAAATTAAATTTCACAATTTTATTCGAATTGAAAAACATACTCAACGTTATGACATTCTAATGAACAATTTTTATTTGACCATAATTGTTCGCTTCCCTAAAATTTATTCTTTTATTGCAATTTAAAATGGATTAATTTGACTAATTTTGATAATTAATGATTTATTGAGTAAAGACAATTAAATTTGCAATTAATTTTAATTATTAACAACCTTTTTTTTCTTTCGAATGAATGAAACGAATAACTTAAATATCATAATAAAAGGATTATTTAATTATTATTTAATTATTTATTAAATAATTATTTAATTTAAAGGAATGAGAATCAAATGAATTTTCTTGTTTCAATTCTGTTTATAAAGCTATCTTTATTGTATTGATTATTTTCATAGATTTTTTCCATACCTAATTTGAAAGCTAATAATTAGCATTAAAATCAATAACCATCGGTGGAAATGCTCATTGATTTATTAAAGGAAAAATACCTCATGATATTAAGCAAAATTTGTTAAACTTCCATATATTTGCATGGAATTTCATTTTCAACAATTAATCGTTAATTGCTAAATTAAAAACAAAAATAAAACATACCTGATATTTAATCCAATGTCGAATTAAAATAATTGTTAGATAAAGACCAATTATCGTTACTAGTAAAACAAAACAATATAATAAAATTGATGATTGTTTTTCTTTAAAAAATTTTCGAAATTGCATATACATATCCTGTAATATTCATTTTATGTTATTAAAAATTCAATATTTCTAAAACGACTAAATTGAACGATTTGATTAATTTCATAATCAATTAAGTAATTAAAAACAATTGAATGAATTAGAGTTAAATACTTTTGTTTTTCTAAATATTTCATTATATAGTGTAATTAATTTTCTAATGTAATCATTAATTTAAATGAAAACAAAAACAAAAACAAAAATTAAGAATTAATGAAATTAATTTTAAAAGTAATGAAAAGAACAGGAAAAAAGAGAAAAAATTTTTTTGTTTAAATTATTTGTTTAATGGTATTTTTATATTCGATATGAGAAATGCATTCTACAGGTATGATACATTCGCCATTTTTCAACGGCAACAATAATAGGAAGTTCTTCAATGTTATTAGGATCAATCGATTTCATTTAATAACTTTAATATTTGATTTTCAATTTACATATGCATATAGTATTTTAGTGTTTTAATTTTAGGTCTATTCAAATACATATATATATAT